GGCCAGCGAGAGCAGCAGCAGCACCCAGGCTCCGCCGTGCCGAGGGCGGCGGCCAGCCAGCCAAAGACCAAAACGCTCCCAGTGGACACCGGGTGCTCACACCGCCGGGGGTGCCCGGGACGAGGGGCCTTTCCGGTGTACGCGGTGAGGACTGCGTTGTAAGGATTAAGGGCGTAAGAAAATGTCAACTCGGGCCCTGGCTGGGCGGCTCCGTGGGTTAGAGCGTTGTCCCGCCAAGGATGGTCAGGGCACATGGCAGAACCAACCGATGGCTGCATCCATAGGTGATAAGTGGAGCAGCAAATCAATCTCAATCAATCCCTCCCTCCCTCCCTCCCTCCTTCCTCTCTCTCTAAAAATCAATCAATGAATTTTTTAAAAGAAAGAAAATGTCAACTCTGAAGTCCCGCAGGCGCAGCTTCATTATGGCTTTGGCACCCCAACACTACACCAGTGGAACCGCCGGGTATATGGGTCAATCAGTTTGATCCATGACTGTAGCCGGCTCTGTATCGCCTCTGTGTCCTCACTGTCAATCAAAGCGAAGGGACGAGGGGACCCCTACGTTCAGCTGGACAGAGACGACCCCAAGTCCTTCAGCATGAAGGGGCCCACTGGCGCCTCCTTCCCCGATGCCTCAGCGCTCTGAGTCTCCGCCCACCCAGCGGGCAGCCCCCATGATGTCCCCACCCGGCTCCAGGAGGCAGACTTTTTAATTAATTTCAGCAGGGCGGCAGGGGGGGGGGAGGACTGGTGGGCAGGACCGGACGCAGGGAGACGGCTGCTCCGTCCAGAGGCACGTCTGACCCACAGCGCGCTCAGGATGCGCCCCCAGCCGCTCACCTCGCCCACGGAGATGCGCGTCAGCGTCTTGAAGGACACCAGGTTCTCGAACACCAGGGTGGACACGGCCACTTTCAGCCGGATCGCCGTGCGGTAGTTGATGGCCCAGGCCAGGGCCCAGAAGAGGACTTTGGTGAACTCGGTGGCAAAGAGGGCCACGCACAGGCCGACGCCCACCCAGACGCTGCGGGCGGCGCTCTCTGTCTGCCGGAGGATCTGGTGGATGAGGACCATCTGCAGAACAGCGA